ATATGGTACAGTTATTTTAATTAGTCTAATAAATTCAGAACAAGCAACATAATTGACTGCAGAAATGCACTGACTCTGGCTTATTCCCAAGCATAACAGAGCAACTGTAGTTACAGAAGATTAATTTTTTTCTTTAATCTAAGTAACATACTCTATTTAGCATTTATAACAATCAGATCTAAAGCTCACATACTAACTTACAAGAAAAACCATGTGCTGCAGAGCAACAGCTTGAGAGCGAAAATTTTTAAAGTTTGAGATGAATATGCAATTTTCTTCCTCATCTATCTAATCAAATTCTTAATCATACATTCTGCCAACATAACTCCAAAAGAGCTCATCAGGATTACATATAGGAGACCTCAGACAGACCATTATGCTTACACATTCTACAATGTGATCAGTAGACAAGATTCCACAGTATCTACTGCCTTAATTGAAATGAGCTGAGTAAAACCAACCATCCTATACAAAAAAAAAACATATTAATAGAGATAATCACAATGGGAAACACAAAATTTCCATGTGGAAGAACATTTCTGAAAATACTACTACTCTGTGCTCAACATTTAATATATACCCTTACAGGATTCCCTATGAAGAACCTTTAGGCAAAAGCCTTAAGGAAAAAGTCCAGTTTTGAATCCATTAATTTTAGTAGTCAAAGACCACCATCATTTCATAGCCTACTGCGACTCTTCCATCCACTCCAGTAAGGAGCGAATATTCTTCTCCTTCATAGCTGCCAGCTGCCATCCCCTACTGCTTCTACCACTTTGGAACATAGAAAGAAAACTATCCCAGGCTCTGAAAATAGCCAGACATCTAACTAAATTTATATCCAGTCTGCCTAATACGTATTTATTCAGTCTGAACAAGCACGTACATACTTCCAGCTGCATTGTCAAAGTAAATTGGCAACCAAAAGCTCCCAGTGCTGGCACCTCTATGGTCAAGCTCATGCTGCCAAATGCACTTCTGAAATAAGGGATATAAACATCTATTCAAAACTTACAGAAGGTCCTTTTTCTTGAGTAACCACTCTAACTAAATTCCAAGTCTTATTTGTATAGTAAGCTGTAGAAAATTGGCATGGGTAGTTTGAGGAACCGAAAAGACTAAACAGGAGTTCAGGTAAGAAGCTTAGGAATTTGAAAATCATCTCTAACTGCAGCTAGTAAAATAGGTGATAAAATAAGGCAAAAAAAAAAAAAGTGCCTAGAAAGGCACATAAAGCCCAATCCTGCATAGAACCACTAACGCTGCTACTATCTTCAGCTACAGCAGAAGAGAAGGAATAACTTGTAAGGATGAAAAAAACAAAAACACTCTCAATACTCATCTAAATGTTTCTATGGCCATCGTGCACCATGAGCGTAGGCTTCTCTGCTATCATGTAGCTCCCCAAAGAAATCCACTCTGCAGGTGCTAACCCCATAGAAGGAAAATAATTTCTGCAGAAGAATTTTTATTTCCAGAAATCAAAAAATGTTGCTATTTAAGAAAATAGGTCTCTTACAATTTCAGCACTTTCTTAAATATTCATCTTATATATATAAGTGAATAAAGTTGTAACTCCAGTTATAATGGTTTTGACTACTGATTTCTATTATTTCCCTAGTTTTGAAGTGAATTTGCTGTTCTTTCTTCTAACTGCAGTCAGGTTTAAACATGAAAATAATTATAAACAGCTTTGACAAAAATTTTTTTCTGACCAGAACTGACAAGACACAAAGAGGGTTAACCCAAGTCAAAGATTCAGCCAGGCACTTACTGAAAAAAAACTACAGAAACAGTATCCAACTAAGCATCCTTCATCAAAGATCAAGAGTTTCTGCATATTTCAAGATTGCATTCTTAGAAAGTTAAGTAACTTGTAAATAACTAGCTGTGAACTGTTAACTCAATTGGTCTAAGGTAAGTAACTTCCTAACTTCAGCATATTATCTAAGTGAAGATGTCATCTTACATTTTGCCTAAAATTTCAGTGTCAGATAAAAAGAAAACAAGAAAAAAGGAAAAACTTAATTAGCTTAAGTGAATGAAGTGCATCTGCAACTTTAGAGTCTCTCTTCAATTTTTTAATCCAATCATGCCATTTTCCTCCTATGAGAAAATAAGAAGCTAAAGCAAATGCTAATCATAATAAAAGATACTACTTTTGACTGATACCTAGTGAGACAAATCACTTAAACTATGATTTTGGAAGCTAAATGACCTAAAGTGTGATTTTGGAAGCTATTCAGAAAAAAAAATGACAAAAAGGTAAAAATGGATCAGGACTGAATCTACAATTGTTGACATGGATAGAATCTAAGCTTTCCTCAAGGGCAGTGTAAACAACTTGTTCAGCAAAATGATGCAACGTATTACATCTGCTATCATAAAATATTCAGTAATTGCTAATGCAAAAAAGAAACATGTAATTAACAAAATATCCCCCATTCCTCAGCACTGGCTTAGGAACTCCAACAATCCAGGCATACTGTGATATGTAAGACAATGTTTGATATTCTAAAAAATATTTCAAAGTTTAAAATTGCGCAGAAAATACTGCTGTTGTTGGTGCAGTTCTATACAATAGTAGAATCTCTTTTAATGGAGTCTAAGAAGAATTAGATGTACATCACTTGTAAGTGGATTAGACATCCTTTATTCTGCTTCAGAACAGAACTAAAGCAACCTTCCTTTACTGGAAGTCTATCCAAGAAAAAAAAAAAAAAGACCTCTATCATACAAATTCATATATTCACATTCAAAATAATAACATTATTTACAGAGCTACTAAGATGTTTAAGTGACTGGAGCACCCCTCTTAGAAGGAAAGGCTGAGAGAGCTGGAACTGTTCATCCTTCAGAAGACAAGGCTCAGTGGGGAAGATCTTAACATTGACTATAAACAATTAAAAGAACAAGCTGGATTCCTTAGTGCCCAGCTACAGGAAAAGACACAAGAGACACGAAATGAAATGCGGAAAGTTCCATCTGAACAGGGGAAAGAGCTTCTTTCCTGTGAGGATAACAGAGTTCTGCAACAGGTAAGTTAATGAAGTTGTGGAGCTTCCTTTTTGGGAGACACTCAAGAGCCATTTAGACACAATCCTAGGTGACTCTGCTTGAGCAGGGGCTTTGGGCTAGATGACCTCCGGAGGTTCCTTCCAACTTCAACTCTGTGATTCTGTGATTTAAGGCCTGCCTTTCGCTCTGCTACTTTCTTAAATTGTGATTTTACAAAATCCTTCATTCTATAATAACCAGCACTGTATTTTACTCAGCATGCTCTATTCAACTTTTAAATTTTACACAAATTACACTCTGACCTCATATTCAGACTCTCAGAGGACATAATCCATCTCTTAGCAAAGCTGACAGCATGAGCCTACTGATATTGAAAGTGGACTATCCCAAGTCATAATTTCCACTAGAAACTTATCACTGGAAATAATTATTTCTAATCTCCAATGTTCTAAATATAATTTCCAGAAGAAAGCACATAAAGCAAGGAGATTCATTCTTCTACACTGACAAAGGCTAAAGTTGTAAAACTAGATGCTCTCACCATAAAAATGATAAAGATTATATGAAACTGTCATAGATCATTATCCTCTTCCTGTGAGTCAAAATACCAAAAAGAGCAAGATACACATCTTTTCTTCCACAAGAAGCTGGAGGAACATGTGAAAGAGTATTCTACATTAAGCTCATTAAACAGCACTTTTATATCTTACAGTTAGTTTTAAATATGGAAAAAGCATGTTATCCTCCACTTTCTGTTGTTAATCTCTGCACAAGAGAGTGCTTTTCAATGGATATATTGGAATAATAGCAATAAAAAATGGAAAGTCAATAACAGAAAGATGAGTATTGAAATACATTTAGTAATTTTTTTGTTAGGAAAGGAATTCATCCTATGTCACAGACTAAGGCAGTAGCTAAGAAGAGCAAATTCCAGTTCTCCTGCTCCCCAACACCCTTCTTTTGAAGTCCAAATCATCCTTCCTTTAAAGGCAGGTATTAGGACACAAAAACCTCAAACAAAAATAATTGCAAACAACTTCTCTATTTTTATGTATTTATAATGTGAGGGAATCCACTTAAAGGTTATAGATATCCTTTGTAGGCTCACAGACCCACAGCCCTTTATATAAAAACTATTCTAAGACAGAAAACCTCCTGTTATGCAACGAATAAAATGTAATTCTTTAAGTCTGTACAAATCTTTGTGCAAATCTCTTAATTATACAGGGAAGAACAACCAGTCAGTCACCAGTCACTCCCTGGTACTGTATTACTGGAACACTAAACTAGAGAGAATCACAGAATACTTGGGATTGGAAGAGACTTCTGGAGACCATCTGGTCCAAACCTTCTGTTCAAGCAAGGTCAGCTAAAACTGTCTGCCTGTGACCATGTCAAACCATGTTTTGAATAAGTCTGAAGATGGAGACTCAACAATTCCTCTGGGCAAAGTGTTTCAGTGTTCAACCACCCTGAGAGCAAGCAAATATGTTTTTGTGTTCAAGTGGAATTAGGGGGAAAAAATAGGTTCAGAGACAACTGGAAGAATCCTACATACTTTGATTAATACAAATAAGTTATTTAAGTCCAAGAAACAAAACATATTGGTGTTTTAGGAATTCTGATCCAATGTACATCCTTATACAATCTTATAAAAACATTGCGATTTCTACTGTCAACTGGCATCTGGTAGAACACATTCATATTTGGCACACTACCACAAGAACTTATTCTTCTCTCTAAAAAGTCATTTTTATGGCAGCAAGCACTAACACATATTCTTAGCCTTCTGTATCCTCCAGGATTAAACTACGAGTTTATCTCCAACTAAGCTACAAACAAGAATAACATGAAAAACAAAAGTGCAAACAAAAAAGCAAAGTCATTACTCAAAAATAAGAAAGGCAGAACCTGACCTAAAAATTAAAACACATCAGCACAGTTGTGTCTTTCAGGAAGAATAAATAAAGTGGTATACATACTTTTCTGCTTGGAGTTTTGTTGTTTTCACTATCAAGTCCTGGGTTTGTTCCTTTGCTGCCTAGAATATAATTAGAATTTTAAGTATACGAACAAGCACAAGCATAACAAATGTATTACACAAATTTTAGAAGCATGTAACAGTTTTGTAGTTTTCTGACTGTAAATAGTTGAAATAGTTGAAATAGTTGAAAGTATTCTTTCAAAAGTATGACTTTTTAAAAATAAGTATTCAATAATCTTTCAGTTTCGAGGAATGAGAAGAAAAACCTTAATGAATACCCTTGCCCACATGTATCTTTATATTTACATAAATTATGTGCACATATAAATTTATTAACCATATTAAATATTAAAATGTTACAGAAATAATACAAATAGTTCTCATTTTTGTTTGGCAATCAATTGTAAATTATTTGCTGTTGCAAATGAAAAGTGAGAAAAGTTGATCTGGATATCAAACTGCCTAGTGTCAACATCTATCAGCCATATTAGATAACATTAATACAGCTGGGCTTCTAGCTATACTCAGCTCTATTGCCCAAGTAACTTAAAGGTTTGTAAAGACTAAAGTCAATATACCTAAAATACTCATCTTGAAAACACCAGTGCTAGCCCATCACTAGAGCACGGCTCTGAATGCTCAGTGATGACAACACAAGGAAATCCACGCAGAAACAATTCTGCTACAGACAGCAATTACATGACTACAGGGATTGCAGCAACAAAATTAAAGAGTTCAAAAATGTGTAAGAGTAAAACAATTCTAGTTCTTTTATCTTCCTGCTCAGGAACACAATATCACTACCTTTAGGGAGAAAAAAAGGAATTTAAACGCATGCATGTACAAACACAAGTCCTGAAATCAAATGGAAAAATACTGCAAGGGGTGAAGGTGAGGGAGAGCTATAAAGATATTCTTGGTGAAAAATCTCAAAACTGAAATCAAGCTATATTTAACAAAGCTAAATTATTGCCTTGTCCAAAAATGAACAAGCCTTGAAACCTCTGAAATAGTCTAATATAAGAGTGTATGCACACCAATTCATTCTGGCCCTTTATATTTGCTGCATTAGAATAGCTCTAAAGAAAAAGCACTTAAGCAATTGTGAAAGGTGAAAACAAGAGTAGAAAACGTGCAAGTACAACTTCAGTCAGAAGGAGTCTAAATATTCCATAAATACAATAAGAGAGTACTGCTGAAGTGTAGATTTCTGAATTTTCCAAAGAAAACTATAATAGACTGGCATACAAACTTGACAGCATTTCCCGAATAACTTCAGAATAATGTTCAGATATCTTTAAGAGCTTAATATTATATATACATATACACACACACACTTTTTAATCTTTATTTTTGTTTTAATAATATACATTGAGTTTGAATGCATCAGATTGGTGGGTGAGGGTTCACTGTTCAGCAACACCTTTCACTTAAAGGGTGAAAAAAATTTGCTTCCTTTCCAAACAAGAGTGTTCCAGATTTCCTTTCTGGATAGAAACAATTGTTAAGATAACTACTATTAGCAAGATAGCAGAAAGGAAAGAAAAGCAATTTTGCTGGAACTGAGCAGATACATCAGTGACCAGTTTTTATTTACAAGCACACAAAAAACAACTGAGATACATTATATAACAGTAAGAGCTTACAATGCAAGCAAAATGGTGTAACTGACAGAAAAGAATCAGACATGACAGAAAACTGATAACTTGGTATTTGCTATACTTCTTCTGCATCCAAAGCAAAAATATTTCTTCGCCATAGTATAATAATTAAAACATTCACTATTTTAACTCTTCTTTATCCCTGTCACACCCTAGTGTGAAACTTCTTCCACTTAACCATCACATATATTGCCACTGTCCTAGCTGTTTGCATTGAATAATGTTGTAAGCTCACAAAATACAAAATATAAAAGCTTTTAGACTAAGAGAAATATATAGACATTTTTGTATCTTGTATTTGCTCTACTATTACGCAGAGCTCTCATTACTTTTCTACCTTATGTGCAATATTCATTTCTAGAACCTGTATTTGCTCTTCTGTTGCAGTACACTGACATCTTACTCAGTTTGAGCACATGCCATCTTGACGTACTGCTACGGATAAAATACTTAACAACTGAGATTGCTAGTTCATAGGTTTATTAACTAACCTTACGATTATACGAATAAAACACAGGTTGAACTGAAGAAAGTCAAGAGTTCTACAGGGCTCAAGAAGAAACCCTCTTTCAAGCAGGAAAAAAAAAATCCTACCTACTGATTTTAATAGTAAAAGAATGCAGGGTGGCCCTCTTTGCTCTTGTAAAGATAAGCTAGCTGCATTATATAACCTAAAGACGCCAAGGAATAAAAATCAGCAAGGACACTTGACTCATCTCCACAATTGAGAGTTTAGTCAAGCAGTCCCTGAACTGCAGCAGATTTATATCCAGATGAACAGCATTAGAAAAGAAAAAAAAAATGGTGCAATGGGCTGTGCTGTATGCGTATTTTCTCTCTCATGCTTTTTGGAAAGAGCTTGTCAGAGCAGGAACTTTCTTAAGTTCCCTTACATATAATGTTTATGAAGTCTCTTTCATTAAAATATCTTCAGGCAAACATTAAGGGGAAAGAAAACGACTTTGCACAGGAGTTTGCAGGGAAGGACTTTGACTCACATACTAAAATTCAAGTGCTATCCTATGAACAGATTTGATTTGGCAAGATATCTACACTTCAGCCTAGATGCATCTATTCACAAGCCTTTTAAACTCACTACTGGACTACTAAATTTGTGCACTAAAATGAAACCAGATTTAGTAATATGCTATTAAGGTACAACTTTTATCCTCTAATATATTATGGATTGAGGGTTATTAAGCAACAAAATTATTTTTGTCACCACTCAACATCTTGAGACATAATTACAAAACAAAAGCAAAAGGATCAAGACTGCACGTTATACTCCCAAGTTATGATATACTTTCTCACAAATACAGATAAGAATTCTACGAACACGTAACTCAATAGCTGTAACCAATGCAATGGGCATTTTAAATATCAAATTACACAAACATAACTAATCCACTCATCTCACACATATACCAGTGAATCAAATAGTTTCTCTCCACAAAAACATTAATGGATATTACATTGATATTCCCGAAAAAGTGTATTGTTATCTGTTGAATTGGAAGTAGGAACAAAAGAAAATAAATTGCTCAATATATTTTCTACACAAGTTAAAAGAAAAATATTAATAAAGTAATACAATAGCTATACTTTGGAAATGTCTCAGTTCTTAATCCTCCAAAGAGACTGTTTAGCCTGTTAAAAAAAAGCAAAAACATATACAAAGGAAAAAATAGAAAACAGATATATTACCTTCAAACGGCTAGACATATCTTCACAACAGCTGCTCATTGCTTGCACATCTTCATTTATACTCTCAAGTTCCTACACAAACAACAATAATACAACTTTCAAACAACAATAGCTGCTTTTTAAAATCAGGAATACCACATTTGGGCCCAACTTCATCCTACCAAAATGAGATGCCCATGTTGACAGGCACCTAAGTGCTCCGGATTAGGGTGTCAGTAGAGTAAAAACGCCTCTAAAGATCAGTGCTCACGAGGGATTTTTTTTTATTATTTGTTTGAAATATAATCTCCCTCTGAGTAAGATTTTCATCATATGGTACAAATTCTGAAACAGTTTTAGCGTAAGTATATTTGTCCCAAAAAAATCAAAACATCCCTAAATCCCATTAGAAAAAAGGCGGGAAAAATAGTAGTAGTGCTCTTGAGAGATAGCTGATAAAACTGCAAGAATATTACCTCTTTAACTTGCTTGAATATGTGTACGAATTCCTCATTTATGGCCAGGCTTCGACGCTCAATGTCTCCTCGCAAGTTTCTCCGTGTGCGCAAACTGTTCTCAAAGAAAAAGGTCGAGAGCGCCTTGAGAGCTTCCAGCATCTCCTGAGAAACATGGAAAGAGCCAACATTTCCAGTGGGTTACAAAGACAGACATTACATATAACTAGCCCTAGTTGTGATTTCAAAGAAGAGACCCCCCGTTCCCTCCCAAACAGGCTGCAGCTCGGTTGGTAAACAGCTAACGGCACCGATGAGTCTTTCTGCGTATGTTATGATACAGAGGTCTTTTGCTTTTATAAGGGCTAAAATGAGGCACATTTTATTTGGTCTGAGCATCCATTGCTGCAACACACACAAACGGGAAAGGGCTCCAGACTGAGGCTGGCAGCGCTCGGCGGCACCAACCTCCCTGCGACCGCAGGAGGACGCGGAGATGCCCGGCGTCCCCCTTGGCAAGTAACGACGAGCCTCGTTACTAGCTGA